AAATCAAATATGATGCCATCAGAAAAATGAGAAGCTGCACAATTATACTTAAAACAAGTTATCTCCTATCTAAAACAAATGTTATCTCCTGTATTTATAACTTAATGTCTGTGAAATTGTGCTGAACAAAATAAATATCACCTTTGAATCAACGATATTCCCATTGATTTATATTTTTGCCTCTTGAGAGGATGTTCGTGTTGAAATATTGAAATTTATTTGTTACACATTCCCCTGACTTTGATGAACAGATTTTGATTTTGAAGGCTGTTCTTAGTAAGAAAAGGTTTTATGGGTGCACTTTGTCTTAACATAACTGATGAAGGGATTTGTTATCATCAAAATGCAACATAGCTTTTAACACAGCAGTGGGTTTAGAATTTAACCTGAGAACCACTGTTAATGGAAGAAGAAAATAAACACAAAGAACTATATCCTTTACAGTAACTCTTACAGAATTACCCTCTGTGCTGATGACTTTCCACAGGCACTATGCTGTTTGTGTAATAGACTGTGTAATTTGACAAATTTCTGCAAACTAAACAAACACTCTAAGAGAAACTCTATTAAAAATAAAAATAAAAAATAAAAATACAAATTATTATTGTACATAATTAAGACACTCTGAAAGGAGTCCAGTAAGATGCCAGTGTCTTACAAAACCCAATAATTCATACTTTTTTATTCCTATGTCTGACTAAGCCTGCACTTTTCATTATGTGGCTACTCAAGTGTAAAAGTGTGTCTCAAGACTGTACATAAACCATGTGCTACAGCTATTGCTGCCTTCATGTCATCCCTGGGAAACTCTCAGACAATAAAACCTCATTGCATCAAAGCTACTGAGATTCAGTGCAGGGATTTGTAGAGCGGAGTCAGCCAAAGATGAGCTCACACACCCTCACCTTTTTGCCTCAAGATGGGCAGAACTCATAACCACTTTGAATTTACCCCTTTTAGGGAATAGTGGCTTTGAATCAATGTTATATATGAAGTTTATTTTATAAATTAAATTATGTATGTATAAACATACACTTTTCCTCCTTTTTGATGACATAATTTATGGAAGAGTGAAGGTAGAAATGCAGTGTGCATTATCACAGACCTAACTGTATTGAGGTAAAGACATAACATTCACAGGATTAGAGCATATTAAATTTGGGGGATTTTTAAAAAATTATTATTTTTCCTCATATTGTTAATTTCTTCAGAACTTCTTAAGTCAAATAATCCTTGAGTGAACTGTTCATCCTCTCTTTGGAAACAACAGTTGGTTAAGAATAAAAAGAGTGTGACAAAAAGAATAAAATTAAAGTGGAGATCCACACATACTCAAAAATTAGAATTTTAATTAAGACATCCTCCCCATTCTCCAAAATCAGGAAAAAATATACAGGAAAAAGAAAAAAAAAAAAAAAAGGTGATATATTTGCTCTCTAATAACAACTAGAAATTTTTCTTTTTTAGGACTATTTTTTTTTCTCCGTAGTGAATACCTCAGTCAATTAACCTGGATTTCTTTTATCAAAGCACTTGAAGAAGAACTGTTCTGTAAGTCCATTACACTCCATGATGTACAATTCACATAACCACTCTTAAACCACATCCTTTTCAATAAAATACTGAATTGTTTCTTTCCACAAGCAAGCTATGGTGAAGACCTGGATAAAAACTGTAAACTCACTCTTTGCTGAACTTTAAACTTTTATATAACATAGTATTTTGTCCTACGAAACCCCATGAAACATTGCGTGATTCTTGACTGAGGAGTGCAATTCTTTACTTGGCAGCAAAGGACAACCTGAAAAAAGGAACTCAAGTCTTCTGTATAAATAATGCACCACACCAAGATGTTAACAGTTAGCCCATAAATCCTTGCTGAGAAACAGAAATTCACAGTTTATGGAAAGAATTTGTGTAGTATGAAGGCTGAAGAAGATGCAGTGGGCAAAGAGAGAAGTTCTATTCCACAACCACCTGCACCTTCACACAGCACATAGAACAGCCAGCTACTATTACTGTACACTAATTCATCTACAGTTCACTCATGTTGGTCAATGAAAAATATGAAAAAGAATTTCCTTCAGGTATCTTCTAACACCTAAAATGATAACTGCTAGAACTTCTGGCAGAAGTGTTGCTGTAAGAAACATCTCCTTGAGACAAAGGCATGACAACAAAGCAAGAACCATGTCTTTAAAGAGTCCTATGGATTCACAACATTTCAAAACAGTAAGGAAAGAAGTGACTGAAGCAAGACGATTCAGATGTTTGGGCCAGATTTGCTTCCATAATTCAAGAACAAAGAATGTTTCCTGAAACAGAAAGTGTACATAGAAAAATTCGACCCTATTTCTTCTTTCATATAATGTACATTAATATAAATATGAACATTTAATATGCATTGTGTAATGAGGCAGTGAAATTTACAGTGGCTGATACTGAGCTAAA